ATGATCAGATAGCTATCGATATCCAATCAATATGATTTTTTGCAAACATATAGTACTCGACGAGTTCTACACATTGAACGGTTCTGGTTAGAAAAACAGGACCCGTAGTGGGCCCCCACGGGCAAAACAACACCGTCCAATCAAAACTCGAAAAGGAAGCAGTTTTTTCCCATGTATTCACCAAGCGGACTGCATTGCCCATCCGTACAACGTACTACACTATATTCTCCTACACACTTATTTATACAATTTTTTAATATACATTTTTTCATAAAAAGTCAAAAAGTTAATCCAAACATTCATATTTTTTTCCTCAACTTTTTAGTCCAAAAAGACAAAAAGTGCACTTATTTAGAACACCCCAAACAACCCCTTATAATTATAATATAACAATCCGACAAGAAGAAATAAACAATACAATACAACTCTCGTAATGAAGAAAAAATAATCAAAGCAAGAATTAGATCCCTCAACTTCTAGATATGAGTATATGCAAATGATCGACTGGATTAACCTAATTGTTTATATGATTTGAAGTAGTTGTAGGATCATCTAAATGTCAATTCAAAATAGATTATGAACGTAGTAATGTTTGATTATATCCCATATTGATATTTGATTTTAACTTATAGTGATTATTTGTTGGGTAAACTATATTAATAGTCCTAACATTTTATTTCTTGTGTCATTTTGATTCCGACATGTTTAATTGGCTCAATTTTGACCATTAATTTAAAATTTTGTATCAATTTGGTTCAATTGATAATGTCGTCAATATTTTTGATAGAAAATTATCACTAAATTGGTTGAGATTAACTTACTAAACCAAACCAAACCAAGCCTTAAATCCCATCAAATGGGGTCGGCTACATGAATCCTTCCTCTCCACACGGCCCTATCAAAGCTCATTTCGTTAGTCAAATTAAGTAGATCTATATCTCTATTTTTTCAACGTTAACCAATGTTAATTTAGGCTTACCTCGTTTCCTAATACTCTTCTCTACCGTCACAATATCGCATCTCTTTACTACTGTCTCTGTTGGTCTCCGTTGAATGTGACCAAACCATCTCAATCGATTCTCTCTTAACTTATCTTCTATCGGTGCTGCTCATACCCATTCCCGAATACACTCATTCTTAATTCTGTCTTGTTTAGTCTTGCCACACATCCACCTTAGCATCCACATCTCAGCCACACTCATCTTATCTACATGTTGTTTCTTGGTTGCCCAACACTCCGTCCCATACAACATCGCTGGTCTAATAGCCATTCTATAGAACTTATCTTTTAGTCTAGTGGGTATTCGTTTATCGCACAATACCCCAGACGTACTTCTCCACTTATACCATCCCGTCTTAATCTTATGGGCCACATCCGCATCAATCTCCCCCACTGTTGTGATAATCGACCCTAAACAACGAAAATGTTCACTCTTAGGTAATTCTTGGTTCTTAATCTTCACTTTTCCTCTGCTTTCATTGTTACTGTTACTAAATTTACACTCCATGTACTCTGTCTTATTTCTGTTTATCCGGAAACCTTTAGATTCAAGAGCTATTCTCCAAATCTCAAACTTTGTATTAACTCCTTCTCTAGTCTCATCCACTAGCATGATATCGTCTGCAAAAAGCATACACCATGGCACGTCGTCCTGAATATTTCTCGTCAACTCATCCATAACTAAAGCAAAAAGATAAAGGCTTAAGGTAGACCCTTGGTGTAACTCAACAGTGATAGGAAATTCATTTGTTTATCCAGCAGGCGATCTAATAGTGGTCACTACCCCTTCATACATGTCTCTAATCACATCAATGTAACCTTTTGTCACCTATTTCTTCTCTAACACCCACCATATTATATCTCGGGGTACTCTATCATATGCTTTCTCAAGGTCGATAAACACTATATAAATGTCTCTTTTCTTTTCTCTATACTTTTCTATTACTCTCCTCAAAAGATAAATCGCTTCCATTGTTGACCTGCCAGGCATAAACCCAAATTGATTCTCTGACACCTCTGTTATATCTCGCAATCGACGTTCCATCACATTCTCTCACACTTTCATTGTATGGCACATTAGCTTGATTCCTCTATAGTTGTTGCAATTCTGGACATCTCCTTTATTCTTATATATTGGCACTAAAATATTCTTCCTCCACTCATCTGGCATGTTCATAATCAACAAAATTTTACTAAATAACCTAGTCAACTAAGCAACCCCCTTTTTACCCAAGCACTTCCAAGCTTTAATAGGGATATCATCGGGTCTTAAAGCCTTATTTGATTTCATCTTCTTAAGTGCAATCTCCACTTCAAAGTTCCTAATCCTGCGATAAATTCTATAGTCTTGGTTTATCGTATTACTAGCCATTTCTTCCCCTATTGATGTACCTCCATGTTCCTCATTTAATAGTTTCTCAAAATAGTTCTTCCATCTTGCCTTAATCTCTTCATCCTTCACCAATACCTTAGAACCCTTACTCTTGATGCACTTAACTTGATTAAAATCTCTTGCTTTCCTCTCCCGTATCTTAGCAAGTTTGTATACCCTCTTCTCTCCTTATTTACTATCTAGTCTAGTATATAGGTCATTATAAGCTTTCAACTTAGCCTCTCTCACTAATTTTTTGACCTCTTTATTAGCCAATCTATAGCTTTTAAGGTTTTTCTCAGTTTTATCCTTCTGCCACTTTTTAAAACACTCTAGCACTCTTTCTTTGCCTTAACTACCGCTTGAACCTCTTCCTTCCACCACCAAGTTTTCCTAGCACTGGGTTTCGTCCCTTTTGACTCTCCAAGCACTTCCCTTGAGATTCTCCTCATACAATTGGCCATTGAGTTCCATAGTGTCAGCATCATCTTCAAAGTCCCAAGTACCTTCCTTATCCATTCTATTCTTAAATATTTCTAGTTTATCCCTTTTTAGGTCCCATCATCTCGTCCTACGATGCCCACTATCTCGTCCTACGATGCCCATCATCCTTCCTAACTTGGTATTGCCCTCTAAAATATAAATCTAGTACCAAAATTTTATGTTGAGAGGTCAGGCTCTCTATAGGAATCACCTTACAATCATTGCATTTTAGGCGGTCCACTTTTCTCACTAAGAAGTAATCTATTTGGCTCTTAACTGACCCACTCTTAAAAGTTATCAAATGCTCCTCCATCTTCTTATACATAGTATTGGCCACCACCAGGTCAGAAGCCAACGCAAAATCTAAGATACTCTCTCCAGCCTCATTTCTGTCACCAAAACTGTATCCACCATGCACCATCTTATAGCCTAGTTTATCTATGTCTACATGGCCATTAAAATCTCCACCTATAGCCAGGTTCTCTCCTATGGGCATCTCCTGTAAGATCTCATCCATTTGCTCCCAAAAAACCCTCTTAGTCTGATCATCTAATCCTACTTGAGGGGTGTATGCACTAATAACGTTCACTATATTCCCTCCAATAACTAGTTTCACTAACATAATCCTATCCCCTTTCTTAATGACCGTCACTACATTCTCCACTAGACCCTTGGCAATTATGATTTCTACCTCATTCCTGCGTCTGTCCTTACCACTATAATACAGTTTAAAATTGGTATTCTCAATTTCCCTAGATTTCTCACCCGTCCACTTAGTTTATTGTACGCAAGCTATACTAATTCTCCTCCTAATCATAACATCTACTAATTCCATCATCTTACCAGTTAAGGTTCTTATATTCCAAGTGGCTACCCTAAACCTGTAGTCTTGGACTAGCTTCTTTACTCATGCTCGTCCAGAAAAACGCAAAAACCTTTGCCCATTTTTCATTGCACCCAGGCGTCGATGCGGCGTCCCTTGCACACTTTTCGAAACACCCGAAGGCAAGCGCAACGCGCTACTTGAGGGTAACGACCTAGCATTTAAACGATTCAAAGTAGGATTCATTTTCATAAGGGATCCGAACGACTTTTTTACATGTTGGCTGTTGGCTACCTAGCACACAACCCTCCTCCTTAACTCAGGCTTGGGACCGGCAGAATTGTTAACAACCCCGACGGAGTTTGAGATTAACTTACTGAGTTGAACAAATTTATAATTTTGTCTCTGAAAGCATAACATGTCACTTATGTACATATTTTTCATTAAAATTGTTAATAATTGTAAGCAATTGAACTAAATTGAGATAAAATTATAAATTTAAAATCAAAATCGAGCCATTTGAGATTTATAGGGACCAAAATAATACAATGATCACAATACAGACACTATTAACGTAATTTGTCTTTATTTTTTTGTTATTTTTGTTATGAATCTAGTGATGTTTGATTATGAGCCCGCGTCATAGTGATGTTTGATTTATGAGCCCGCGTTGGTTATGAATCAGCTAAATGACTAATACTCATGAATCAGCTGAATGGCTAACACTCGTTTTTCAAATCAATTGCTAAATGGTTGAATTTTTTAAGTAAGCCATCCAACTTAAGAGAGCGTTTGGACTTGATAGGCCTATTTTGAAGCTAACATCGATAATTCAAACCATTCACTTTTACAACTCGTTAAGTAGAATATTTATGTAAAAAAACTAAAATGATTAGACATCAATAGATATATGTTTAAATCACATTTATTTATTTTTTTAAAAAAATTGATAATTATATTTTCAAGAATAGTTATCTATTTTTTGTAATATATATATATATTTGAACGAAAAGAAAATGTATATTGAAAGAAATCACAAAGAGAAAGCAGATACATCATTTCGCAAAATAGCAGCTAAAGCTAAGGATCGGTTTGCTACCCAACCCGAAGGGAGCCTTTGATTGGCATGAGCTTTTGCTACCCAATTTGCTGCCATATTGTGATCTCTGCTTGTGATTCAAATATATAACTACTCATATCTGATCATTTTAATTTTTGCTTGAATATTCTACTAACTCGACACAAATCAAACATGGGAAATCAAAATGCCAGAGGCATCCATTAGTGTAACCAATCCTTTCTTTTGTATAAATTTAACAGAGACAACAGATGCAAATATTTTAGGCATATATAACAAAAACAGCTTTAACTACTTCAGTATACTCAACTCATTGTGAAAGCTTAATACAATATTCTACAGTTGAAGAGGGTAACAATCTTTGGTTGGAGAGGGTGGTTGTAAAACCTCTTTGTAGCAATAAAATTAACACAACAAAAAAAAAAGAGACCAAGTAAATGTACAAAATTTTTAAATAATACAAATTTCATATTCAATAACAAGTGATGTTACAAAACTCTTTCAAGAGGATTGCACCATTGATGCCAAGTCCAATTCTTCATCAGAGTCAATGACATCCTCATAGTCATAATAGGGATTTACCTGCAATGCATAATTATATCAAAGCGTGTTACATACAAAACATAGCCGGGGTGAAACTAGGAAATCCATGCAGGAGGGACCGAACTAAAAGTATCAAACAATTTTAAAGTACTATATTAAAATTTTATTGAATTCATGAAGCAATTAGATATTTTCTTGAAAATTAAGCAGAGAAGTTCAGTGATTTGTCAAAAGTATGCATTCAATGCATATGATGGAGAGACTTTTTTTCACTTTTATGAGTAAGACCACACTTATTAATTCAAGATGTCTGATCTATTTTTCTCGATATATGCTCTATACTAAAAAAATATTTTTGAGGGCTATTCAGTGTATTTAACATATTGTATGCTTGGAGAGTCATATAAGAATTTTTTTAAAAATTTAGGAAACCCTTGGTTCACATGGAACTGGGAAACCCTAAATCAGTCGAGAGCCTATCACCAATCTACACACACAAAACCTGCAATCAAATGTTTATAGTACATCTCAAATAGAAGATTGGCAACGGTTGGAAATTATGGCTAACTTCCTTAACTAGAGATCAGTAGGATCATGTACCTTTGGTCTTGGGGTAATCGCTTTGAAACTATGGAAAACTGGAGAATCAAAATAAGGGGGTTCCAGAACAATGTATGCTCCTTTATTCTTGTACCTCTCTTCTGTTGCCTGCAAGGAAGACAGATAGAACAGGAAAATATATTAGTTCCTACTTTCTACGTAATTTACCAACTAAATATATTATTTCTATGTTTCTTGTAGCTACAGTAAATACTACTAGGTTAATTTGAAGCTCTCTCCTCCCCAGCACTTGCAGATGCAAAGACAGCCATATTGATGATATAGCCCAAAGCAGCAGTTATATTGACCTTCCTCTAGAGATAAGATGGTTTAGCAAACAAATCTGTGGTTTCCTAAAGAAACTTGGAACAAGAACGGCTTAAGCAAGATTCTGTGTCCTCGCAAAACCCCAGTGCAATGGAGTGCAAGAGATTCAAAACAAAACAGTTTCAACATAGTATTCACTAAGAAGTCACTTCTACAAACATCATATCAACGTAGCAAGCGACCATGCTAGTGTCAGTTTCAAGCCCATGATACGTTAAGATCAGCTTTGATAGGTGAATATGTTTTAGTCACAATCCCAGTACAAAATTACTTAAATGGCTGGCCTTATGATGGGGTAATAAAGGCGAAGAAAATACAATCAACATGCCTAGATTGAATGATTTCAACTTCACATCCCATCTTCATGTAAGCAGATCTTAAAGGCATTGAATATCTAACTATCCTATAACAAACCTTATTAAACAAGCTCACCCCAGCTCATTCATCATCATCAAAAATAAATAACCAAACCAAGCCTTAATTCCATCAAATAGGGTCGGCTATATGAATCCTTCTTCTCCAGTTGACTCTATCCAAGGCCATTTCGTTAGTCAAATTAAAGAAGTTCATATCTCTATTTATTATACTAATCCACATCAATCTAAGTCTGCCGTTTTCCCTAATCCTTCCATTTGCTGTCTCGCATCTCTTTACTACTGTCTCTGTTGGTCTCCATTGTATATAACCAAACCATCTCAATCTATTCTCTCTCAACTTATCTTCTATCGGTACTACTCCTACCCATTCTCGAATATACTCATTCCTAACTCCATCTTTTCTAGTCTTGCCACACATCCACCTTATCATCCTCATCTCAACAACACTCATCTTATCTACATGTTTCTTAGTTGCCCAACATTCCGACCCATACAACATTGCTGGTCTAAGAATCGTTTTATAGAACTTCCCTTTTAGTCCAGTGGGTACTCGTTTATCGCACAGTACCTTAGACGCACTCATCCACTTAAGCCACCCCGCTTAATTCTATAGACCACATCCGCTCCAATCCCCCAGCTATTGTGAAAATCGATCCAAAATAACGAAAATGTTCACTCTTAGATAGTTTTTAATTCTCAATCTTTACTTCTCCTTTACTTCCATTGTTATTGTTACTTAAATTATATTCCATATACTCTGTCTTAGTTATTTTATCCTAAATCCTTTAAATTCAAGTGTTTCTCTCCAAGTCTCCAACTTAGGCCTTGTTTGGACGGTTGGCTATTTTAGTAGGTTATTTCAGTTTTTGACTATTTTAGTAGGCTAAAATTATTTTGTTTGGAAAAAAGGTTTAATTTTTTTGTAGTTGGATGTGATGTTTATGAGAGAAAAAGTGAAATGATTATGAATTTGATGTGATATTTTGTCTTTTTGTAAATTTTAGTCAAAAAAAAAGCCCAAACCCAACTTGCCAAACAAAGCCTTAGTGTTAACTCATTCTCTAGTCTCATCCACTAACACAATATCATCTGCAAAAAGTATATATCATGGTATATCATCTTGAATATTTCTCATCAACTCATCCATAACTAAAGCAAAAAGATAAGGACTTAAGGTTGATCCTTGGTGTAATCCTACAGTCTAAGAAGCATGGATACGGACACGTGACACGACACGGATACGACACGGACACGCCGACACGATAATTTTCAAAAAATGTAGGACACGACACGCGGGGGACACGCATAAAATATATAATTTTATATATTTATTATATGTTATATATATGAATATATCATTCAAAAATAATAAAAAAAATACAATATGACATTAATCCCTATAAATTTATATGATTTTTATTTTATTATTGTATCTTAAATTGTTTTGTTCAAACTTATAATTAGTTTCACATGTGTCTAATTGATAGACATGTGTGTTTAAGAGATGTACACGTGTGTCCTCCAAGTGTCCAAAGAGTGTCCGGGTCTTTAAAAGATAAGACACGTTATAAAGAGTGTCGGACACGTGTCGGGAAAGTGTCCAAAGAGTGTCGGTGTCCGACACGGACACGACACGGATACGTCACCTTTCTAGAAGTGTCCGTGCTTCTTAGCCTACAGTAATTAAAAATTCATTTGTCTCTCTAACATGCAATATAATAGTAGTCACCACACCATTATACATATTCCTAATCATGTCAATGTAACCTCTTATCACCCCTTTCTTCTTTAACACCCACTAGATTATATCCTGAGGTACTCTATCATATGTTTTCTCAAGATCGATAAAAATCATATGAATGTCTCTTTTCTTTTCTCTATACTTTTCTATTACTCTCCTCAAAAGATAGATCGCTTTCATTGTTGACTTACCAGGCATAAACCCAAATTAATTATCTGACATCTTTGTTTTATCTCGCAATCGACGTTCCATCACTCTCTTTACATTTTCATTATATGGCACATTAGCTTGATTCCTCTATAGTTGTTGCAGTTATGGACATCTTCTTTATTCTTATAGATTGGCACTAAAATACTTTTCCTCCACTCCTCTGACATTTTCCTAGTCAACCAAATTTTACTATATAACCTAGTCAACCAAGCAACCCCCTTCTTACCCAAACATTGCCAAGACTCAACAGGGATATCATCGGGTCTTAAAGTCTTATTCGATTTCATCTTTTTAAGTGCAATCTCCACTTCAAAGTTCCTAATCCTACGATAGAACCTGTAATCCTAATTTTTCTTATTACTGCCTACTTCCTCCCCTTTTGACCTACCTTCATGTTCCTCAAAAAATAAAATAAAATAAAATAAACCAGCTCTTCCCATCCAACATCATATCTGCATTGGGCAGCTCTTCAAGCCAATAATAATAGGTTTAGACCGACTCAATTTTTGTACACGAAATTGAAAATTAATTAAATAAGAAACACATTATCTTAATAATTTCTGAAAGGAGGTGCTCGAAATTATTATGGTTTTTCTGAAGGTCATATCTAATTGAAAACATAACAAATTATCCTACTCTCGTTATGTAGAAGTGGCAACAAAAGTAGATCCAACTCAATCACGCAGATTTTTTTTAATTTTCAACATGTGATTCCCACATGTAAATCTACACTCCACTGTTAACCATAAAGGCATAACAGTAGTGTTAAGCCAATTGATTCCAATTTTCTCCACTCTCCTACATCAGCTACTAAAAAGAGATATTGAAAGCAAAATCATAGCAGAAGAGCCATTGCATGAGCTGCAGACACAACAACTACTATAGTAGATGGAAATATTGAGTGTTACAACAAAGATAAAACCAAATACAACAAGATACCTGGAACTGCGGATAGTCAGGAGCACTGAAAAGAGTAATCAATTTCCCAGACTCTACAACATGATCTATTGTGTACCCTTCATCCATTCCTCCTAGACCAGACCGCTTTTCCCTCGCATCGGGACCTTCATGTGATCTGATAATTAACTGCAGTAACAATTTGATAACAAAACTGATGTTACTATAATAACTCTTTACAAAAATGAACAGAGTTATCTAATGCCTATCTGTTATATTTCCAAGAAGATTTCAGCTTTAACTTGCAAATGCAATTTCATCTCAAAGCATTAATGTTGTGTTTGGTTAGGCGATTTGGGAAGGGATTTGAAAATGGAAAGGGAAAGGGAAAAAATAGGTGAAATGTGAACAAAATATACTTACATTTCACCTAGTTTCATACACATTTTTCCTTTCCTTTTCCAAATCTCTTTCCAAATCTCCCAACCAAACACAGGTTAAAAGAGGAAATTGAAAAGGATGAGTTTTCGAAGTTTGTCTGTAAATGACCATTAAGGAGAGTCATGTTGCCATTCAACACTCAAATGTTAGATCATCTATCAAACTACAATTCAAAAAACATTGAAGTTATGAACTAAATGGCATGAAAAAATGTAACTCCAATTCATTCCGGTTATCAACTAAAGTCATTCTAGATGAGGAAGTAGAGTTTTATATCCTTATCAAGAAATGTGGAGTAAATCAAACAAACCAAACTAAGCCTTGTGTCCCAAAATCAAGTGGGGATTAAAAAAATGTAGAGTCTAGAATTGTATAGCCCACAATTAATGACTAAGAAGCTATAATACATTCAATAATCCAAACCTAATTAATTAATGTTCAATAACCATATAAAGAATTTTTATGGTATATTACGTGAACAAAACATGAAACAATGCATTTTGCTTATGATTGGAGTTTTGTGGTAAAAGGTTTATCAAAGTCAATAGCCAACAGTATAACAATGATACAATGTGATTATATAATGAAATCAGCATCAAATGAGATAACAAAAAACTCAATTCACCTTTAAATTGAACTTCTTTAAGAATGCTTCAGTACAGTCAGGACCCCATAAAAGACCAATTCCTCTCTCTGCATTTGGAGAAAGGCCAGGGTTCATTGATGGGTCTGACCATAGCACATCACCAGGAATCAAGTTCGCACCTTCCCATGGAGGATCAAGGACAGATCTCCTTGCTTTGGATAACTCCTCCAAAGAACCAAGAGATAGAGAATTTGCTTCAGGGCTGAGAATTATTTTTCGATTCTTCTTCCCTTTAGGTCTTTTTAAAGGCGTAGTGGTTACACTGCGGAAAAGTCCTCCATGTGCAGTATAAACACGATCAGCAATAATTGAAGCCAAAGGAAGTCCTTCAAAACAGCCCAAGCATTTCCGATAGACATGCTTTCCTCTATCTCCATACTTTGCCAAGACTTCTTTTTCAAACCCATAAACTGAAGTACAATATTTTGATTCATGATTTCCCCGAAGAAGATATACCCTATGTGGCATAAAAACCTAGAACAAGTGCATCATCCCAGTTAACTTTTCTTACTTTACCATAATAAAATGCAACAAAATTGTATAACATGTACACAATAATTATCTGGTTATATTACACGTAACAAAAACAGTTTTAATCTTTTTCTGAGGAAATGATAAAATCCTTTGTCGAGCACAGAAGTCAGCTGTAAGCGTCAACCACAGCTACAAAACTACAAGACTAAACAAGCCACAGGCCCACAGCTAACATGAAAACTGAGTACCTTGACAATCAACCATCGGAAGTTCAGAATATGAAACATGAAAATTGTCACCAAAATATATCAAGTCCACTGAAAATAAGTCCTTAAGTCCTTCCATTTTTATGTACAACAAAATTCTATAGAAAAGGGAAAAAAATGGCAATGAATGTGAAAAAATACAGAGTTTTGAAACAATGAAGAGCGACCATAGGATAATGTGAAACCATCAACCACTCGTGTGTCTCACTTTCATCATTTTGTATTCCATTTTAGATCTTCATTTTTGAAATTTTCAGAAGATGGAGAAAAGTTTGAAAACACCTGTTTTGAATTATTTCCATTTTCTATTGTTTGTCTCACTTTCATCATTTTCTTTTCCCATTTTGGATCATTTTTTTTGAAATTTTCATAAGATGATAAAAAGTTTGAAAACACCCGTTTTAGAAGTATTTCCATTTTGTAATGAACCTGATTTTTAAAGAAAAACAAATAAAAATGTTTAAAACAGTTTCATGAAAATAGTATTTTTAGGTGTTTTCTCAAGAACAGTATCTAAAATGCCTTTTGTGTAATTTTCTTCTTCATGTTTCCAAGAAAAAATGAAAACAAAAAACAAATGAGAGGGGTGGTCGGAAGGGGCTCATCAACAAAGGTGGTGGTTGACAGCCAAAGGTGGGGGAACTCACCCGAGGTAGTTTCCAGCAATCAAGGGTGGTGGCTGGAGATAGAAGGGAACTCGCAGGAGGCAATAGTCTGAGGGGGGAGGTGCGGCTGGCCAACGGTCTTGATGGGCAGTTGGTGGTGACTAGAAGGGGGTGGTGGAGGGAGAAATAAATAAAAATGTGTTTTTAAAAAAAGTGAAAATGTTTTTTTTCCTAGAATTAATAAAAATTTATAAACGATTTATATTTTTTTTTTAAAACAAAAACACTTTTTTTTGTTAACAGTTTTCAAAAATATTTAAACCAGAAACCGAAAAAACAAACCATAAACGTTCATGTTAAAAAATTGCAAGAAAATCTATTAAAAATTTAAGGTGTTTATAATTAATTGCAAAACTAAAAGACTCAAAATAAAAGAAGCCATAGATACCATGAAAACTTAGTACCTTGACAATCTACAATCTATCTCCAATCTTCTATTTTCTTCCACAATACCTTGTCCACCAAATATGACAAGGGTAAGGGTGTAGGATATATATTCAGCGCTCTGATACCCAATTTAGACACTTGAATCCTCTACCTTTACATAATGTTTGAACAAGAATAACCTCACATTTACTAGTAAAGAAATATTTATTGCCTATCACATGGATGGGAGATAGAAATTTCATATTTTTCTTAAATTCTATTTGATTTAAGTATATTTCTAAATAATTTACATCATTTTATCTGAGAATATTATATACAATATATGTGTTTTCATTTAATGTACACATACCCAAACACAATTTTTGGATACATATGTCAATATTTTAAGATTTAAATTAGGAAACTCTTATGCTTGGACATGAAACAACACAATACCTGCACCCAAGTCCATGTTTCATAGCTACCATTTGATGTTCAACATACAAAACACAAGTATTACCCCTTAAAATGCCAAATCCACTCAAAATAAGTTCTTACGACCTTCCACTTTTACATGCAAGGAAATTCCAGAGAAAATAACAATAACAAATTGATCTGCATCTGACAAATTTGAGACTTCTAAAACAACGTAGAAAGTGCAAAAAATAATGTGAAACTATCAAGGGTCTGTTTGTCAGGTATCACAATTTCATAATTTTTGTTTCCTTTTCAATCTTTGATTTTGAAATTATATAAAGATGTTGAAAAGTTTGGAAACACAACTGTTTCTGAATTGTTTCCATTTTCTTATTGAGCCTGAATTTTACAGAACTCAAAAAATATGTAAATTAACTCAACTCAACTAAAAGGTTTTTATAATCCATGTTCACTAGGAGTGATTATAAAGTTTATGCCGGTTGTCAACCTATAACAACCATCCTCCTTTCTTTGGGCTTGGGACTTGATGTTTAAAAGATGATGAGACACTAAGCATGACACAAGAAAAAGATATAAAATTGTTAAAATAGCTGCATGAAAATTGGCTGTTTTTGGATATTTCCCCAGAACAATATCCAAAAACTTTTTTTTTTTTTCTTTTTTTCTTCATGTTTTCAAGGAAAAAGTCTTTAGAAACAATACCAAACATGCAATGTTCTGGACTTGTTTCCCACATCCTCCCTCTTTTGCGGTTGACTTTAACTAAATGCATTTAAGATACCAAAATTGTAAACATTTAGTCCCCTTAAGATGCCAAAAATTGTATATAGAATACAGATCTTCTTAGCATTACCAACTTTCACTGGAGACTCATAGCAACTTCAGAAGTCAATGTTTGAGTAATTAAAGAAGTGAAAACCTCAATAAAAGGTAGGTGGCATAAACATAAACTACATAACATTACATATAAAAGACATCAAATGTGGGTTGCATTCAATTATTCTTATTCTTTAGTCTTTCATGTCAATTTGCCAATTAACCTCCCATTAAGTATCAGAGATATCAAACATGCAAAAAATTAGATAAACAAAACCCAACAAGTCATATAAAGCAACAACAAAATAGATACATTGATCACAGCCAGAGTCAGTTCAAAGCACACTTCAACATTCAAATAAATCTGCTAAACTCAAACATATCATAGCTTACTTTCTAAAAACATTGGCATTTTAATTCTACTAATTGACTTTTCTTTTTCTTTTTTTTCTTAATTGAAATTAACATAAATGTGAATCTTATATACCTTCCAAGCCAATAAGAGAAGAAAGGTCTCAAGCCCCCAAGCTCCTCTATCCACATAATCACCATTGAACACAAAGAACCGGTCATCGGCGGGAAAACCCGCCTCCCTCAACAAGAAAATGACATCATGCAATTGCCCATGAACATCCCCAACAACCACAACACTAGAATTAGGGCCAAAACCCTCAATACTAACACAATTGGGCTCCTTGTGAAGGATCTTAGATGCAGAGAGTACAAGAGTATCAAAAACTTGTACGGGTAACACAGAGGGCAGCTCCGAAGGGGGAAGATTTCGAGAAGCCCAATCGAAGGCGATGATGAGGTCCATGACCCAATCACGAGTTAGGATTCCATCGGAGGGATAAGAGATGGGGATTTGGGGAGGAGTTGGGGATGATGGTGGAATCTGGGTTTGGTTGTTGTCATCGGAAGAAGATGAAGATGCGAAAGAGGCCGAGGAGAAGAAGTCATCGTCGGAGGAAGAAGGGGGCTTCGGATTGAGATCTGGGGATGGTGAATTCGGATCAGTAGCTGCTGTAACCGCACTTGTTGTAGTAGAATTCGTGTTTGGACAGTCTGATTCTGATAACATTTTTTTCTCTTCTTTTCTTTTCTTTTCTTTCTGTGTCTGAATTCTATAAGAGAGTTATCATTCAATCAAAACAATGCACAGCTCCGGAGAAATTTTTTTTCCCGAGAAAATTTTGCTGCAGGAAAAAGAGGAATGAAACGAGGAAAGTGCTCCTCTTTTCTTGGGAAATTATCGTAAAAATATGAATTAGCCTTATCATTTAAAAAATTACAAATACTTTATTATCTGAATTTTTTTATTTAATAAAATTAATTAAAAAAATAAAATATTTAACTGATCTCTTATATAATAATAAAATTACATCAATTATTAATTAAAATATATTTCTAATATCATGAAAACTATTAATTAACTTAATAATTTATTAATAAAACGAGTCATTTGTTATAAAATTAAAAATTTTAACGAGTGAAATGTAATTTTTAAAATTACAAAGGACAATTCGTATTTAAACAAAACTCAGAAGATGTATTTATAATTTATCTATTTTTTTCTTATTAATGTTAAATTAAATTGACACCCTTCTGTTCTTATAAAATTATATATTAGCATCCTTTTATATTTTCTAAATAAGATCACACTAATAACTCTTGTTAACTTATTCTGTTTATTGCTATAAAATTATATATTAGCATGCTTTTATATCTTCTAAGATTACGCTAATAACTCTTGTTAACTTAGGTTAGGTTTGGTATAACATAAAAAAAATCAAAAAACCAAAAACTCACTATTTTATTTAAGTTACATCATCTTATTTAAATCACATCACCTCTCTATCACATCATTTCAAACCCAACTCGTATTTTATAAAAAGTTAAAAAGTGTACTTATTTAGATTATTTCAAACAACCCCTAACTGGTGTTTTTGGGAAGTTGGTAAAAAGTTGCCTTTTGATTTTTTTGGTTACTTTTTTGGCAAAAAATTAGGTTGTTTTGGATAAAAAAGTTAGATTTTTTTGGCTAAAAAAATTAAAAAGTCAAAAAATTGACTTTTTTAGCTAAAAAGTCAAAAAGCTAACTTTTTTAGTGTATTCCCAAAAGACCCCTTATTCTGTTTATTGCTATGATAAAATTTAGATAGGGTTTCATTTATTAAAATGAAGTGTCAAAATATTCATTTTTATATTTGATTAATTAAAAAAATATTATAAATATATTATAAATCGGTAGTACTATATGCACTGATTAGTCTACTAATTAATGTATTAATATTAGTTATGACATTATTATTATCCCCACTTATTAATTACATTACAAATATAAAAAGCTCTTAAATTATGTCACATCATCAATTAATATACTAAATAATATATTAATTAGTGCATATAACATTATTTTTTACAAATAGAGTTATGGTTTATTATTGTAAGATAATGATTATTACATTTGTAGGAAATTAAGTAGGCATTCAGTGGCACAGAGTTAAAGAGTGAAAATCAGAGTAATTTTTCGATTAAATCCAATTGCATAATACGTACATACGTGGGATAGAGTAATGCTATATTTACGTGTCGTTGGGTGAATTTGACTTTTTAATTTTTTTAACTTTTTTTAATTAGAGATTTTTTTGTTCCTTTAATTTTTTTATTTGACCTTTTTGTATTAGAACAACAAAATTGCTCTCTACTTGAAAATGATTCTTTTTTGACTTTTTGTTTATATTTGGGTCAATTTGATAATTTTACATCAAAAGTCAATTGTTTTGTTATTTTGTGTTTTTGTGACTTTTTTTTGTCCTTATGTACTTATTTAGTCCCAATATCCCAATATGTTTACCAAATCAAGACTTATAATTTTTTTACATCTCTATATATATTTCACTCATATCTCTCAATTAGATGGGAGTGTTTGTTTGGGCTTTTTTGAGTTAATTTATGACTTTTGGCTTTTGAAATATTATTTTAGATTGTTTGATTAAACTTATTTCAAACGGTTTCTGATTTTAACAACTTATTTAAAGTCAAAAAAGTTAATTTTGAGAAGCTACTGATCCCTTACTTCTGATTATCAACTTCTGCTGTGGATATGTTAATTTACGGTTATACTCTTAGATTTTTTTTTTTTAAATAAAAAAAGATCCAAATGGACTATAGAATATTATTATTATTTTTTATGAGAAATGTAAATAAGTGGTGAATAACAAAAAATAAAAGATAATTGAAAAAGTTACTTCACAACTTATTTAACAAACACTATTTAGCAACTTAAATCTATAATTCAATAGTTACACTAAACAGATTAATAACTTTTGATTAAAGTCATAAATTATAATCTGTTATATTATAATTTATAATCTATTTTAACAACCAAACGGGCCGATGAAGTGCTAGGTTTCTATCTATTTTATCCTCTAGGTAAGGTAATTTAAACCTCATAGGTCTCCTAATTTAAACCTCATCCAATTAACCAAATAGTCTTATTTATTTATTTATTTTTATGGTGAAATAGAGCCTTTCATTACTCAATTTTTATGTAAATCGGGGGGGGTGTAATTCATTACTCAATTAACCAAACGGGCCGAAGATTCCATTTAATAAATATTTTTAAAATTTTAAGTATTTATTTTTATTTTTTAAATGCACTTTATTTAGATATATCTAAATAGTAAAATATTTGTAAAAAAATATTTTAAAAAATTAATAAATACACAAAAATATGAAAAATATACGTAATTTTTATTTTTTTATATATATATTTTTAGTAGAGAATTTTTTAAAGAATTTTTTCATAAATATTATATTTTTTAAGTGTTTATGTTAGGTGTATTTAAAAATTAAAAAAATTACTCAAAATATTTAAAAAATTCATTAAAAACAAAAATAAAAAAATAGAATTTTTTGAAAAATATTTCATAGAAATCAAAACCAAACAAACCTCTGTGAACGTGGATCACTTCACTACCTCCTTCCCCTCTTTTCTAATCTTTTATTTATTTTTGGCTTCCACTGGAAACAACCAAATCCAATCACCATGGCAAACCACTGCCTAATCTCCTAACCATTACAATTTACAAACTTCATGGCAAACCACTGCAATCACATTCTGAAGCCTGCAATCTTATAACAAAGCTCTTCATTCTTTCTTTCATGTCCGCATTATCTCTTTTTCTATTAAAAGCTCTTATGAACCACTGTGAGCCACCATCCATCGAATAATTGCCCATCACAATCACCACCGCAATCACTTCCAACAAAAACTTTATTTAGAGGGCCTCCAATGCTTATGAACCATGCCCTTTTTTTTTCTTTCTATTCTAACCATGACATCAAAATCATATCAAATGAAAGTGAGATTATATTTTTAATCAAATTAAGGGGAACTTTTAACCTTTCATCAAATTTTGCAGGTGACCGTTGGTGGATGACCGGGTGGACAACCGGATGGTCAACTGGGTGGATGACCGGCTTGGAGAAATTTTGTGGAAAATTTGCTCTAGGCCGGACGATGAGCCAAATTTGATGAAACCATTAGAGTACAACATATTAGATAAAATTTTTACTTAAATTTTTATTCAAATTTAATAAAAAATTTAAATAAGCATCGGAGATACTCTTACATTGCTAACAATGCTAACTTGAAAAATCAAAAGAAGAAGAAAGAGATAAGAAAACCCAGGCACCCCATTACCTCATGCCACTGTCACTGCTTTTGATCACCTCTCACTATAGCTCCGGTCTACTCTTGTAATACCCTTCTCCAACCTAACTAAAAGGAATCATCTATATAGATAGTAAGAAAAATACCTCAAAACACATAATTCAATTTCACATTTAATTCTTCAAGTCCACTCAAATTCAAAAATCGTTCAAGCTTCCAGACGCTAAAAGTATCCACACAAATGTACCCTCAAACTTTACAAGTTTTATAAGAAGGGTAGAAGAGATGAATTTTCATTTAAAGTATCATGCCATACAAAGACTCCCTTATTTATAATCCTTGACAATAGTGTTCCATAAATATCAACTAAGAAAAAATTGTAAATCAGTGGAACAATCAAAAAATTAATTACATTACAGACTGAATTTTTTTTGTGAAACTCTGACATACATAAATACTTACACCAAACGCTGAAAATGACTTGCACCATACACACAAGATACATTTTTTGGGTGAATACATACAAGAGACTTGCACCACCATAAAAATGAAATTGTTTTCTACTACTTCTCTGAAATGCAATTTTTCCATTAACTTATATTGTCATACAATAAATATGATTTATTACAATTAAACCTTAATTGCAACAAGATCCTCAATTAGCGATTAATTAAATGTAAGTTCCTATTTAACCCTCATAATTCATTCGTATTACACATTGCCCATATTGTGTGTGATCTTCTTGATTCAAATTTATCCAGGCAATGCAATATAGTTAATTAGAACACCTTCTAATTAAACTATGAAACTATTGCAATGAGCTCTACAAAGCATGAGTGACATCTAGCAATATATGATGATCATCTCAAATAGAAAGAATATACAAAGTGAACCTTTAGCTAACATTATTGTGCAATTCAATCATTCCATAAGCCCCTAAATCGACTATTTCTGCTCAATCTAACTGATATAATTCATATTTGTGTAATTATAAATTTCTACTTATCACCTTGCCTTGCCCAACATCTTCCTCGAGCCATATTCTTGAAGATCAGGTATAGCTTTGCCTTTCTCTATTTGGGACATCAATTAACTTGTATACCATTTTCTTTAAATTATACATGTGTCGGTTCCATAAAATCCAAAACAATGTATGGTTATATAAACCCTACTATTTTAGCCAAACAAAATTTGAAAACCAAACACTAATCAAATATTTCAAAACCATAAAATTTCTAAAACATAAAATAATTATAAAATAACTAAATCACACAGACTCAATAAATAGATTAATCTCCAACATTTTTTATTAATTAAAATACTAATGCTAAATTCATTTTTAATGATATGGTATGAATGAGTCTAAAGTGGTTGATTTTTAAGCTAATTAATAACTAATATGAAATAGTGGATATCAATGTAAGTAAATTTAGAGATTCTATTTTAAGAATCTCAAGTTTCTTTTTTATTTTATTTTATTGAATGTTAAAAGAAATATTATGATACATCCTTATTTTAAGAGAAGTGATGATGCAGTAATTTCAATGGAGGATAGATCGGACTGATCCATGCTTC